AGAGGTATCAGCATGAATAACTTTGTAAGGATCACTTCAGCTTGTGCTGCCATTGGACATGATGATAGAGGGAGAGTAGTACTGGCTCGTGTTGAAGGAAAGTCACTAGTGAGAGGGTAAGAGGATAATAATAATGTACTGATGTACTTATGATGGGTAGAAAGTTTGAGGTGATTCTGACTTCAATTTTTAAAATTACAGCCATTTTTAGAAATTGGCTAATTAAAAAAAATCCCTGTACTATAGTCCATGGTTTTTCCAAAAAAAATGGCTCCGAAATCACCCCAAATTTTTATTACATTTTCTGATACATATTGATGCCTTCATGCTGTGTAGAAAGTTTGAGCTGATTTTGACTTCAATTTTTAAAGTTACGACCATTTAAAAAAATTGGCCAACTTCTTAAAAATACCCAAGGCTATAGCCCATGGTTTTTTCCGAAAAATGGCTCTGAAATCACCCCAAATTTTTATTATGTTTTCTGATACATATTGATGCTCTTATCCTGTGTAGAAAGTTTGAGCTGATTCCGACTTCGATTTTTCAAGATACAGCCATTTTTAAAAAACAGCCAAAATCTGAAAAATACCCAAGGCTATAGCCCATGGTTTTTCCCAAAAAATGGCTCCGAAATCACCCCAAATTTTTGTTAAATTTTTTGATACACATAGATGTCCTTATGCTGTACATGTAAAATGTTTGAAGTGATTCTGACTTAAATTTTTCAAGTTACAGCCATTTAAAATAATGACCAATTTTTGAAAAATATTCAAGGCTATAACCCATGGTTTTTTTCAAAGAATGGCTCCGAAATCACCCCAAATTTTAATTGCATTTCCCGATACACTCTTACTTGTTTTTTCCTCCCCATAGCTTAAAGCTCAAACTGGATTACAGGAGAAGGATAGGGAGCTACGTCAGTCTCAAGAGGCAGTTCGTAGGTACCAGCAACAAGCACTTACTGATGATCACTGGGTTATTAATAAAGATGAGGTGACTATGAACAATGTATATGAGGATTTACAGTATATTATTATTAATTGTTACTTCACCTCATGTTAGTTCTCATTCTCTCTCCTTAAATTATTTACAACCTGTTAAATATTTCTCATTTATTTTTAATAAGGTCACTCTATTGAATGTGTACATAAGATTTTATTCAATGAGGTACATTAGAGGGAGGAATGACTTTGTATATCACATTCAGTTTCTATATCTCTTCCACTCATTAGTGTATATCTCTTCAATCCTTTCCCTTCCCTTTTTGTCTACTTTGTTCTCTATTACCTCTCTCCTTCTCTCTCTGTTTCTTGTGAAATTAATGTGTGTGTGTGTGTATGATAGAAGAGAGAGAGAGAGATAGTAATGATTGTGTTTGCTTGTATGCTCAGCTCTTAATAAAGAGGCTCTATAGCTGAACAATGATCATACAGTACATGTACATGTATATATAATTATGTAAATATAGTACACTACATGCATATAAATATTGTTTCTCCTTGTGCCTTGATCAATATGATAATCATAGTACCAAGGTGGATGATATCAAGAGTAGATAATTTTATTTGTTGCTATATTTAATATTCTCAGTGTCTATACAGGTTTCATTTGATAACTATATGTACATTCACCGCTGCATATAATTATATGAATGTGTGACTTTTAAAAAAATTATTATAATTATAAAAATACAAGGAAATAGCAGCAAAAACTATATTATTAATTTTATTTTTATTCAAGAAAACTGCTAATAAAAAATAATGTACATGTATGACTAAATTATAACACTCTTTAAAGTGCACAGCAAAATATCATCTCTAAACTAACTATATGTAGCAATGTTAATGGAGAGAAGGAGAGGAGATAAAAAGGAAGGAACAGAAAGAGATTGAGAGAGAGAATGAACAAGATTGTGTGATGTAGTACTACTATGATATCATTATGGTAGGGAGGATTGGTATACTTGTAAATAATGGTACGTGGAATGATTCCCTCATACTGGCAGCAGTAGAAAGCATCTGCATTTGAGAGAATTGCATTGATATTTTTTGTAGAACTTCAGCTTTTTGCTTTGCTCTTAATTGTTCAGTGACTTTTTCAACTATAGCTTTAAGTGAAGAATATGTTTTCCCACCATTACTTTCCAATAGCTGAGCTATATCATTTAATCCTTTGTCTCTAGCAATATCTAATGGTGTCTCCTCCTGTTTACTAATATCATTGACATTAGCACCACTGTCTAATAGATACTGGACAATTGACTTACTACCTTGTACTGCATACAGCAAAGGAGAGTAATATAAGTAAGTATCTTGTTGGTTAACATCAGCTCCATGTACCAGTAGTAATGTTTGTACTACTCCATCACTGCCACAGGAAGCAGCTATCATAAGAGGAGTGAGACCAGTGGATTCTATCAGTGGTGCACATAAGTCACTTGATGCTTGTTTAGGTCTAGCTTGAACAAATAATGTGATATCATCTGATATACAAGCAGTCAGTATGTCTTTTTGACGATTTGTGATAATTATATTCTCTGCTAATAAATTGATCGATTCCTTATGTCCACCATGACAAGCTGCAGTAAATGCTTTCTCTTTTTCTTCTTGATCAGGATTATAATTATTTAAAAGTACATTAATTACTTCAGTGCATCCACCATATGCAGCATAACAGAGGGCAGTAGATCCATAATTATCACTAACTGATGAATCAGTATTATATGTCATTAGTAGAAGAGCAACTGCTTCACTCTGACCCTTTATGCTAGCAAGCATCAGTGCAGTCCTACCTTTACTGTCAGTAGTGTTAGTATCTGCTCCATTCTCCAGTAGTGTTAGTATAATATCCTTGTGACCAGATTCACATGCTAACATTAAGAAAGTTTCTCCAGTTTTTTGTTGATGGTTTAAATCATGAATCACTCTTAATAATGCTTTAACTACTTCTAAATGTCCTCTAATACATGCAGTAACTAATGACGGGCAAGAGACCTCCAACATTTTTTCTGATAGTGGTGCTTGTTCCATTATACTTGAAAGTATTGCTGAAAAGAATTTGCTCGATGATAAAGGTGCCTTACAATCATAACCAACTTTAAGTAACAATTCTACTGCTTGTACATTGCCAATCAGAGATGCTAATATCAAACTGGCAGGATCATCTTCAGGTTGTGGGGTAGCCTCTAGTAGCAGGCGAAGTATCTCAATTGTATCATCTACGGTGAATTTTGATGCTACTTCAAAAATCTGCTCATTGTTCTCATATTTCTCTGCTAAAACTTCTGATAGTGACTGAGACTGCACAAATTCAAAATCACTTTTGTGCATTAACTTGCTCACACACAGATGAATTATTGACACTTCAATTAATGCATCATCCCAATTCATTACAATGTTGATGTTATTAGCACCAGCTGTTAGTAATTCATGTACAATTATTTTATTTCCTGACATCACTGCACATGCTAAGGCTGTTATCTCATTCATACCTTTAATATTAGGATCAGCACCAGCTTCTAATAATAATTGAACTATTTCTAAATTATCTGTTTCTCTACAACAGGTAATCATTAAATAAGTATGGCCATGCTTGTTTGGAATATTAAGCTCATTAGGATCAACTTGTTCCTTCAGCAACAGTTCAATTATTTGAGTGTGACCATTTAGACAAGCCAACATAAAAGCATTCACTCCATCTTTGTTTTCAACATTAGGATCAACTTGTTTTTTCAGCAACAGTTCAACTATTTGAGTGTGACCATTTTGACAAGCCAACATAAAAGCATTCACTCCATCTTTGTTTTGAACATTAGGATCAACTTGTTCTTTCAGCAGCAGTTCAACTATTTGAGTGTGACCATTTAGACAAGCCAACATAAAAGCATTCACTCCATCTTTGTTTTCAACATTAGGATCAACTTGTTCCTTCAGCAACAGTTCAACTATTTGAGTGTGACCATTTAGACAAGCCAACATAAAAGCATTCACTCCATCTTTGTTTTCAACATTAGGATCAACTTGTTCTTTCAGCAACAGTTCAACTATTTGAGTGTGACCATTTAGACAAGCCAACATAAAAGCATTCACTCCATCTTTGTTTTCAACATTAGGATCAACTTGTTCTTTCAGCAACAGTTCAACTATTTGAGTGTGACCATTTTGACAAGCCAACATAAAAGCATTCCCTCCATCTTTGTTTTCAACATTAGGATCAACTTGTTCCTTCAGCAACAGTTCAACTATTTGAGTGTGACCATTTAGACAAGCCAACATAAAAGCATTCACTCCATCTTTGTTTTCAACATTAGGATCAACTTGTTCCTTCAGCAACAGTTCAACTATTTGAGTGTGACCATTTAGACAAGCCAACATAAAAGCATTCACTCCATCTTTGTTTTCAACATTAGGATCAACTTGTTCTTTCAGCAACAGTTCAACTATTTGAGTGTGACCATTTTGACAAGCCAACATAAAAGCATC